GCTATTAAAAGAGTATGAAATCTCTGCATTCGCTCCTTCATCCCGATCAGAAGCATTCAGTCTGATAACTATTGTTCCGTTGTCGGAGTTTTCGAATATTCTTACTTCATATTCAGACTGTTCGAAACTGGGAGCATTGTCATTCACGTCCAGCACGGTGACCAGCAGCTGAACGGCGCCCGTGAGCTCAGGTTTGCCTTCGTCAGTGGCCGTCAGGAGTAAGCTATGTTCGGGAGCCTCCTCTCTGTCCAAGGATTTTCTTAACACGAGCCCAATTTGTGTATTGTCATCACTGTTTGTTTTCACATTTAGCGCAAAGTATTCACTGGAAGTGAGTTTATAGGTTAAAATGGAGTTTGAGCCAACATCCGCATCCGACGCGCCCTCTAGTGGAAACAGAGAATCTGGCAGCCTAGATTCGTAAATCAGCATTCTTTGTTCCTTTAAACGGAACACAGGCGGGTTGTCGTTAATGTCCCTCACCTCCACCTCCACATGGAAGACCTGCAGCGGCCGGTCCACGATCACCTCCAGGTGGATGCTGCACTCCAGGCTCCGCCCGCACAGCTCCTCGCGGTCGATCCGAGAATTCACAAACAGAATGCCATTCTGCAGATTTACCTCCAGAAGGTCCCCGCTGCCTTTGGACGCCACCCGGAACAGGCGCGGCACCAGCTCCGCCAGCTCCAGCCCCAGGTCCTGCGCGATGCGGCCCACGAAGGTGCCGTGTTTGGCCTCCTCGGAGACGGAGTAGTGGACCTGGCCGCTCCCGACCTTCCAGACTGCGAGGAGCAGAAAGGAGAGCAGCAGACGCCGGGATCCCAGTCGGCCTTCCGGGGTAATAACCATGTCAAATAGTTGTAGTTTTATTTCCATCAGAAGATCTTGTCTCCGTATTAAGATGAAATACTGTATGATCCCGAGTCTGTTAATCCAATTCTTCTGCGCCCGCCATCATTCAGCACGGAACGATGCAGTAATAAGAGGAACGGACTTGGAACAATACCTAGATGTATCTTCATGGTAGACAGCGACATCATGCGGCTCCAAAGGGTAAGTAACAACCGAATTCACATAACCCTGCTACGCTACAGCTTCAATTTTTTAAAAAATTTTCTTCTTTTGCCTTACTTTAATAGTGAACCTCCTCATGTTTGTAATTTGCATAGTCTGTTTAATATTGGCTGACTTCATTTATTAATTTAGATTAGGGTAAGGGATCAAATTATTCATAGCAAAACAACTTTCCTCTCAATAATTTAAATAATATTATCAACCAGTTCAGAAAATTTAAGTGAGATCTGAACTAGACTTGGGAATTAGAAGTGCAAACTATCTTTCACACTTTGTGTAGAGAAAAAACATACACATCTATTTCTGTCACAGGCCATGCTATTATATTTTGCTGTGGGAAAACAATGTAATGTTAAATTAACAAATTTTATCTGAATTTTTAAAAGCTTATAGATTATTGAAGTACATTCTTTCTTTGTTCAATGACTATCAAATACTCCTAAGGATTTTTCTAATTTAATAATGGAAGATGAAAATTTCAGTGCACATTCTTTACAACATTTTTTAATTTCCCTGCAGCTTATATTAGGCCTCCCCCTCAAAACATTTTCCTTCATGTACTTCTCCATCACTGCAAATTCTAGTAGAATTTCTACTCATTGTTCTTTGCTGCTCTGATCCTTCAGCTTCTCCTAAACCATCTCATCCTTTTCTCTCAACCTCAACCTCTTATATACTTTCCTTTAAGTGTACTCATCCACTTCCAGCATTTCAAATAAGACTTTTGTTGAAGATATTCCCAAACCCATATCTTCCTCTCCCTTTCTATGATTATAATTGTCATTTTCACCCATACATGCTGATGACTCCTAGAAAATAATTTGATTACAATTCGAAGATTATGAAGAGAAATCATTAATAACCCCCAAATTCAAACCCTTGAATTCTCATTTTATTTTAATGGCATGAACATTCTACATATCACCTAAATGAATTTTTTATTACTCCTTCTCCCTTACCTGCCCTATTCAAAGTCTGCCTACAGTCCATCTGTCTTTTCACATACCACCATATTTATCTTCATGACTACAGCTTTTACTGAATTGCACTAAATGTAGAAATTCCAAGATGTTAGAATCACTTCTACGTAACCTGAGATGCTATCATAAGCCAACATTTCCAGTGTTATTTTCAACTACTCTCCCATGCGAATTCTATTTTGCAGACAATATAGATCACTTACTTGTCTTCTTCCTCAATAAAACCTTTATTCAAGCTGTTTTCTTAAATTTCCTCCATCTTTAGCTGTAAAAGTGTTACCCTCATATCAATGTCAAATCCAAATGTCAATTTCACCACGAATTCATCCTTAATGTCATCAACTAGAGGTGACTAAACTCTTCCTCAAAGAGAGAAAATGAGAGTCACAAAAAAAGACATTTCAAATGGACACATGCCAACACCCACTCTCTTCCGGAATTCTGATATACTTGTAAAATCCTCATTACAGACAACTGTAATGTAAGGATCTCACCCCACCACCCTCCACCATGAGAAGCTCCACCTTAAAATAATTAACCTAGATCTATGCAGTAGTCCTTATCACAGACTTTCTATTGAAGTTATTTTAAGTAAACAAAGAGTTCATTTGCTAACAACAATAGCCCTCAAAACAAAAGGTTCCATTGCTTACAGGAAGATAAGCCTTGACAAAACATATATTGGCCTGCAGTCTTGTTGTTGAAGGTTTTCTGTAGCGGTTAAGGTTTTTCATAACTTTTGACCTAAATGAAGAGTCTCTTTGAATTTCAACTTTTAAATTAGTTAAAGTTAAATATTAAAGCTGTCTTTCCATTGCAGTTCCTAGCAATTTCCAGAAGGCTGATAATATAATCTAATTAATTGGAACAGTTGTAATAATTCTGTTTATTGGCTCCAGTTAAAAAACTATACAATGTTACTGAAATCCTTCATGTACAATAAATTAACATGGAAAAGGAAAATATTGGTGTTCTCATGAGAAACAGCTTATATTTTTATTCAATTATTTACTCAAATAGTTCATTCTGGCCAAGGGAGAAGATTATGTAGAGAAAAAAGTTTAGTCAATCTATGAACATCATCCTCCTCCAGCAAAGAGAGATTTCAGTTATAATATAAATCAAAGAGTTTATATTTCAAAACTAAATTAACCTGATTTTTAAAAAACTGACAACTAACTACAAATATACACAGTGGTGAGAACTCCCTCTCAGTTTCTAGGATTTCCCCCAAAGGAATGGGTATTAGAAATATTTGAATAGTATAATACCAGTGTATTTATAAAATTAAATATGTGAATGCAAGAAATAGGCAAAGCAATAAAAAGGAGAATTGATATTTTATCATATGAAGTGTGGAATATTTATTACCTGCCAAACCCACATTGTTTTCTTAAGTATAGAAAACAGTTCTCTGTATCTGAGATGGAGAGCACTCTTGCCTATGATGGTACATTCAAAAGTACAGCTTTGTTGCAAACAACTGTATTGGTAAACAACAAACAAGAGTGCAGCTTGTATCATGGTACACTTATATTTTTTAATCTAAAAATAAAAGCAACAATTAATATGAGAATTTTTTATCTCAAAAATGTTAGGATTTTCCCAACTATGAGACTTCACAATTACTTCTCACCAATATAATAATTTGTAAATTAGAAAAAAATGCAAGTTAGAGAAAAACTAATCATTGTTGCATTAAATGTTGATGTTAAGGTAAGCGGAAAAATTATGTTATATCTGCAAAATGGGACACCTTAGATCTGGAAAAAAGAATGAGAAATCTCCTTAAGTAATGATATTTCACAATCAACAAATTAAATGAAGAAAGCCACAAAAAAAAGAAATATAAATATTATATTTTAAAATGGGAGAGGGGAGTTTGTATATAAAGAAAATATCTTTAGAAGAATAACTAGGGAATTGGAACGTTAGATATTGGAGGTGCAAAAGAAACATTTCAAACCATTTCAAACGAGGTAAATGTATTTCGTATTCAAAAAATCAATAAAATGAAGACCCTAAAGCTAAAATTTTTAAATTATGAATGAATTCATCATGAGTATGCCGAGACCAACTGTTCAGACAGACTTGAGAAGAATCATTCACTGCACAAGTATTACTGAAAAAGGAAATTAAACTGGTGTAATAAAAACACTAAAATAATTTATGTTCAACGGAGAACAAAAAAAGGTGAATTGACACGACAATGTCAGCACATTTCTATGCAGTCATAATATGAGACTTTGAGAATAAATAATAACTCCAAATATGTCTTACAAGTATCTTCCTACAACATTTCATAAAGATTGAAAATTAAAAAGTTTATTAAAAATTTAGTTTGGAAACTCTACAAAGAACTCTAGTCCATTAACCACAACTTGTAAAACCTTATAAAAAGGTCAAATGTTACTGAAATAAACACTATAGTGCAAAGCGATCACCTCCATCAAACTAAAGTGAATTTTAGGCATTGCTGTAATTTTAAGTAATGAATTAGTACCAATAGAGAATTTACATCTAAAGGGATACAATAATTAGGTATAAAGCCATTACTTAAAATAAAAAGAGAAGATGGAGGAACGTATTAAATATTTAATATTAGAGACCAATAACGACAAATTACTGTGAAAAAGATTTTTGAGACTCACATTGTCTGCAGAGATGGGACCTTGAGGAAGACTGGGACTGAAGGCTATGAGGTCGGTCTTGGGCGGCCCCTCCCCAGAACACACTCTCTGCCGCCTCTGCTGCGAGTAAGACCAGCTCTCCACCGCGCTGGAACACACCAGCGTGGGCTTCCCCGGCCCGCACGCGCCCTCGGTGGGCGGAGCCGAGCACCGCAGCGCGGTGTACAGCAGCAGCGTGAGCACCAACAGGCTGGACACAGCGCAGATGGCGATGATCAGGTACACATTGACGTCCACCAGAGCCGTCTCCGCGCTCAAGGCGCCCACCGACGCCCGAGACGAAGCCTTCGGTGTCTGGCCGCTCTCCACCAGCGACAGCAGCACGGTGGCCGTGGCCGTCAGCGCCGGCTCGCCGTGGTCCTTCACCAGCACCAGCAGGCGCTGGCGCGGCAAGTCCGCCTCGTCCAGGGCGCGCGTTGTGCTGATCTCGCCCGTGTACAGCCCCACGCGGAACGGGCTGCGCTCGCCGTTAGCTTCTGGCTGCAGCTCGTAAGACAGCCACGCGTTGTAGCCCGAGTCCGCGTCCACAGCGCGCACCTTCGCCACCACGTGGCCCGCGCCCACCGACCGCGCCACCAGCTCGCTCACCGCGCCGCCCCCGCCGCCCGCCCCAGGCGGCAGCAGCGCGGGCGCGTTGTCGTTCTCGTCCAGCACGAACACCTGCAGCGTCACGTTGCTGCCCAGAGGCGGCACGCCCGCGTCGCACGCGCTCACCTGGAACTGCAGCAGCTCCAGCTCCTCGTGGTCCAGCGGCTGCAGCGCGTACACCTTGCCGCTCTCCGCGTGCACCGACACGTAGCTCGACAGCGCGCGCTCGCCCACCCGCCGCTCCACCAGCGAGTAGGACACGCGCGCGTTCTCCTGCGCGTCCGCGTCCCGCGCAGACACCGCGAAGATGTGGCAGCCGGGCGGGTTGTTCTCCTTCACGAACACGGTGTACTCGGGCTGCGCGAACGCCGGTGCGTTGTCGTTCACGTCGGCCACTTCCACGGACACGCTGGCGGTGGCCCACAGAGAAGGCGAGCCCCTATCCCGCGCGGTCACCACCAATATATAGTTCGACTTGTTCTCGCGATCCAAGGCGCTGTCCAGCACCAAAGAATAGTAATTCTTGAAGGTGGACACTAGCTTGAACGGAATGTGGGGCGACAGGGTACAGGTCACCTGCCCATTCACACCAGAGTCGCGGTCGGACAGACTGATTAAGGCGATGACGGTGCCCAGTGGAGCGTCCTCTTGGACAGGCAGAGATAGAGAGGTTATGACCATCTCTGGTGTATTATCATTCTCATCCAGGAGTTTCACTATTACTTTGCAGTGTCCAGTTAGTGGGAATGGACTTTTATCTACAGCATCAATATTAATTTCATATAAATTACAGTCTTCGTAATCCAGTTCTCCCTGAACTGTTATTTCCCCATTATTAGAATTGATTGCAAATTTAGATTTTACGTTGTCAAGAACAAGATCACTAAAGAGGTACACTATTTCCTTATTACTGCCCTCATCTGCATCTGAGGCGTTCAGTTTAATAACTAATGTCCCGTTTGGTGCATTTTCCAATAATCGAACATTATAAATTGATTTGTCAAATTCCGGGGCATTATCATTCGCGTCCAATACATTGATCAATAACTGAACTGTACCTGTTAGTTCAGGTTTTCCTCCATCAATTGCAATCAATAATAAACGATGTTCTTGCTTTTCTTCTCTATCTACTGGTTTCTTCAAAACCAGCTCTAATAAGTTTGTCTCTTCTTCATTTGTTTTAACATCCAAGTCAAAATATTCATTAGCATTTAACTTGTATCTCAATTCTGCGTTTGTTCCTATATCCATATCTGATGCGCCCTCTAGCGGAAACCTGGAATCCGCTATTCTTGACTCTAAAATAAATAATCTCTGCTCTTGTCGGAAGAACCTTGGCGGATTGTCGTTAATGTCTTTCACCTCCACCTCCACATGGAAAACCTGCAGCGGCCTGTCCACGATCACTTCCAGGTGGATGCTGCACTCCGCGCTCCTCCCGCACAGCTCCTCGCGGTCGATCCGAGAATTCACAAACAGAATGCCATTCTGCAGATTTACCTCCAGAAGGTCCCTACGGCCTTTGGACGCCACCCGGAACAGGCGCGGCACCAGCTCCGCCAGCTCCAGCCCCAGGTCCTGCGCGATGCGGCCCACGAAGGTGCCGTGTTTGGTCTCCTCCCGGACCAAGTAGTGGACCTGGCCGCTCCCGGCCTCCCAGGCTGTGAGGAGCAGAAGCGACAGCATCAGGCGCCGGAATTTCAGACTTCTTCTCTGGGAATATACCATCGCAAATTCGTTGCAATTTTCAAGTATCTATTGCATTACCACACAATGGCTTTTGGAAACTTAATTCCCAATTTGCTGTAATTTTTTATTTGCTCATCTTTTCAGCTTCAGCAGCAGAGTAAAAATGGTGTGGCCTTTTTCCTTTCTAAGGAAAATAAACTCACTGTATTCCTTTGTTGCAAAAAAAAATACAAACGCGGTTTCCAGCGCCATCATGTGGATGAAAGGGTAAGTATTTTAATTTTGTTATGCTTTATTTACCTTACCTTCGTTAAATATTTCCCAATTTCATTGACTCATGTATTCTTTACTTCCCTTATCTCTAATCAAATATATCATTAAAATTTTAATTAAAAATATAAATTTTCATTAAAATATTGCAAAATCAATATTACTGAAGTCGTGCCACACCAATCTTACTAGAGTGATTTGTACTGGTCTATTTTATTTATATAAAATATATATATATATTTTATATATTCCCTGACTTAAAAAGTTTTGATTTTTTATTTCTTTCCATATTTAAATACATCTTTAAAATTCTTGAGTTTTTCTCCTTTATTTTGATGGGATATTTGTATACTACCTCTATATTACTCATAAAACAAATTTATATTCCTATCTGCAGTATTTAATATTGGCTTTTTGTTGACGTTATTTTCAAAGTAACTAAAACTATTTGAATAACATTCTTGTCTGAGTTCCATTTTGGAATTCTGATTTTCAAGTTGCTGAAATTTCCTTTCTTTAATTTCTCTCTATATCACCTACCTATTTTTAGTGTTGACTCAAAAATGCTAATGTGGAGATTTAAACTTTCTAGAAGCCAAAATTATAGTAAAACAATCTGGTAGGCATCTTGACACTATTTTCAAATTAGATGCATCTAGACAGCGTTTCTTCAGGTTACTATTATTGATAAATCACAGTTGATATAAATTGTGAAAGCATGTATCTTTGCTTTTATGCAGCAAATCAAAATCCTAATGTTGTCTGCAAAGAGAGTGCTTCATAAGATGTTTGGGTTCCAGTAAAAATTAAAACATTGAAAAGAAATCATATTATTAACCAGGCGAAGTCTATGTTAATTTCACCTCTTTTTAATCTTCCAGTTGATTTGTAGCATGATACCACTTGAACTTCACTTAATAAATATGGCCTGAAGAAAATGTCCCCAATTTTTCCTCGAAAAAATATTTAACATTATGCTTGTGTATACTCCCTAGAATTCCTTAAATATTACAAAATCTTTCTGAACCTGTGAAGACAAGAGGGCCCAGGAGATCAATAATTCTTTTACCTGACATGTTAACATGTAAAGCATAAACCCCAAATATATTTCCTTAACTTTAGTATAAGTCATACATGGGACTTGAAGAATTGTTTTTATGTCAATGTATAAAACAAATGTGGAAAAGTAGTAATATAAAGAGTATCTTGAAAAGAAATAAGAAATTACCAGAAAATACAAAGTCAATTGAAATTAATTTGCTTCCCAGTATTCAAAGTAGTAATGTAAAGTAATCCAGTAGTCAAAGTAGTAATGTAAAGTAATAAGATTATGTTACTGGATTTGCTTCTGATACAATCTTTAACAGTGTATTCATCATTCCCTCTAGTTTACAGAACATTCTTACTATCTCTGCTATCTTGACTTTCCCCTCAGCATTCAGATCATCCAAACACTAAAGAATGTAAACACTAATCACTTTTCAAGACTACTTACCTAATAGTTACTGATAATGATAATTTTAAAATATTTTAATACACAATGGTAAAAAACAAGAAAATGATAATAAATGTGTTGAAAATGTCATCAGTTAATGTTTATTCACTGTCTGTTACAGAACCATAATTGACGTGAAACTACAAAACTATACTATAAATAAATTCACTTTTGAAAAAAGTAAATATTAAATATTTAATAGCCGAACCGACAGTGAAGTATTAACAATGTATGCATAGTAATTTACAGAATATTTTCAGTACATATTTAAATATTTAAAAATATGCTCAATGGACAAAATACTATCAACAGTGTCACATGCTCCTTTCAGTTTGTAATTTTTTTCATGTAAATATATAGATATTTCAGGAGCAAACAAGACTCTTGACATTTGACCTATCTTTACATCTGTTACATTACATTGAATTTTTGAATTATCACCTGCATTTGTCTTTCAGTGTTCAACTCTTTCTTTTTTCCTGGAGGTTACCTTCTCAACAATTATAGACTCTCTAGTCTTAATTCCATAGATGACTCCATAGGTAGAGAAAATTCTTTAAATCTTTTTCCAAACCATTTTTTCAATCAAATATTATAGCTTACTTTATTGACTGATCTTTTCACTTGCTAGTTTCTTTAGAAATTTCAGTTATATTTAAGCCCCCTGCAGAAATAAAACTCCTTCCTTAACAATGAATTTAGGTTAAGGAAACCAGATAGTGTTTTGGGGGTGTCTCTACATAATTTACTCGGAAGTATTCAGGAACATATTACACTAGAAAATTTAATTTTGCATTGGAGTCTAGATGTCCTTCATTTCCTATAAACTCCAGAATAAAATTTTAATGGCCTACATTTCTCTCCTATCTGTAGAAAATTATATAGGTCTACTACACTGCTGAGAAATAACAAGGGAAGTTGGAGCAATCTTTTAAAGATATATAAACAATTTATGCATCAAATTTGACCAAGAAATTTAATTGTGTCTGGGAAATAATTTATCCTATGAAAGCACATTGTGTGCATATGGTACATTACTTTACATTACTTTTATGATGATCTAACTTCCCTATAAAATATTGTGCTAAAGGGAGCCGGCCCTGTGGCATAGTGGTTAAGTGCTTGCGCTCCAATACTGGCGGCCCGGGGTTCGGATCCCGGGTGAGCACCGATGCACCGCTTGTCCAGCCATGCTGAGGCAGCGTCCCACATACAGCAACTAGAAGGATGTGCAACTGTGACATAAAACTACCTACTGGGGCTTTGGGGAGAAAAAGGGGGAAAAAAGAAGGAGGAGGACTGGCAATAGATGTTAGCTCAGGGCCGGTCTTCCTCAGCTAAAATATTGTGCTAAAATATTTATACTGTATAGCCATTCTGGGGAGAAAATTTGAGAGTAATTTTACAGTACCTTGGAGAGAATAAGTAAATTAAATTAAGTATAGTTTTTACTCACGATCACATTGCCTTCATTAGTGCCAAATGAGCTCATTTAATAGTGGAAAGGGACAATGGAGCTAAATTCAAGAACTCTTGGTTTTATTCTATGTATTCACATTAATATCCATGTTGCCTCAGGCAAGCTGTTTATGTCTCTGAGCCACAGTTTATTTATTATTAAATTGAGAGAATGACGATTGCTTAGGTCATATCCAGTTTTGGGGGGTTTTTTTGTTCATTTTTTTGGTGAGGAAGATTAGCCCTGAGTTAACATCTGTTGCCAAACCTCCTCTTTTCTGCTGAGCAAGATTGGCCCTGGGCTAACATATGTGCCAAAATTTCTCTACTGTTTATATGGGACGCCTGCCACAGCATGGCTTGATAAGCCGTGTGTAGGTCTCAGCCCCTGAGCGGAACCTGCGAACCAGGCTGCCGAAGCGGTGCACGAGAACTTAACCACTACACCACTGGGCCGGCCTCCCATATGCACTTTTAAAAGCCTAAGTCAAGTGAGTGGAAACTTGCTGAGGTGCAAGGTTCTTACAGCATTAGCCAGTGTCCAGGGTAAAAAAGAAGAAAGCAGAGTAAACAGTAATAAACTTCAATAAGCTTTTTCTTATGATTCACTGAAGGGGAGAAAGAAAGTTTTTAAAATCAAGTACAAAATCCTTATTCTACTAATTTTACTTTATATGAGACTACAAAATAGAATTGGTGAGTGAGTAGGAGAGAGAAAAATAAAATGTTCAGAAGATTTGTAATGACAGATATCATTGTAGTAGATAAAAAAGGAAAAAAGATAAAATATTTATTTCAATTCAAGGTTTTCCATAAATGCCCTAAATCCATATCTGTCAGATATTTATAAGTCCCTTATCCATCTCTGGAGGAATATAACTACATCTAGAACAACTAAAACTTCTCATGTGCAATATCCAGAACTCAATACAAAACTATCAGGCTTACCAAGCAAGAGGCTCATGGGAAAAAATGAACAATAAAAAAAACACACGCAGATGATCCAGTTATTACAGTGATCCAACAGATCACAAATAAACTGTGATTAATGTATTGAAATAAATAAATAATAAAGAATTTCACCAGAAAACTGTAATATATTTTTAAAAGGAAAATTACAATGCTAAAGCTAAAAAATGTCATAATTGAAATTTAGATTCAATTGATGATTTTAATAGTAGATTGAACTAAGCAGAAGAGAAAATTGCTGAAGTAGAAGGTTAGTCAGAATAAAATATCCAGCATATAATAAAGAGACCAAAAATGATTTTTTAAAAAAACAGAGAGGGGCATAGAAGATATAAGAGATATGGTGAAAAGATTTCACACACATATCCCTTGAATTACAGAACAGAAGGTGAGAAAAACATGAGGCAGAAGCAATATTTGAAGACGGACTGCTGAAATTGTTCCTATATTGATGAAAGACATCAAGCTACATAGTGAAGAAGCGTTAAAAGCTGCAAGCAAGATAAAATCAAAGAAAACTAAAACTGAGCATATAATAAAGCTATTGACAATGAAAAACAAAGAAAACTTATAAAAAGCAGCTGGAGGAAAGGAAAAAAGTCACACTACCTGAACAATAAACCTGACAGCCATTTTCTCGAAAGAAGACTATGGAATGTCATCCAGAATGGGCTGGCAGAAAAAGTAACTACCAACCCAGAATCTGATACTCAGCAAACCCATTTTTCAAAAGTGATCATGAATTAAGCATATTTCTGATATATAAAAAGTTAGAGAATTCTTTACTACCACTAAAAGAAATACTAAAGAATTCTTCAGAAGAAAAATCATCCCAGAAAGAAACAAAAACAAAAGTAACGTA